TTGAAATTCATTCCTAGTTGCTTTACTGCACACTGTTTTATGCAGAGCTAGATGCTCTTGTGTATATATAGAACCAATTGAGAGACACATTAATTTAACCCATATGCACCTGCAGGTCATAAGGGTATGTTGCTGCAAAAGTAAAGAAAGTTGAAGATTGAAAAGTTGAGCTTTGTTGATAGATTACCATTAATAAGGTTTTTTTCTTTTAAAATGTATCTAAATATGAAACAAATGTGTCAGACTCTGTGGTATATTTATTTCAAGCTGGGCTTTATTGTGTCAACATATGAATGGAAATAACTATGTTAATTGATTATGCGTTGTGGATATATCTAAATGTCAAATTGAATGCCCCAGCAAGAGTTTTTTTTCTTTTCATACATAAGATTTTGAATAAATTCTGCTTCATATGAATACAAATAATAGGGCTGCTATTAGGGGGTGCATTTGGTACCCATGAGAATTCCAACATGGTCTATGTTTAGTTCTAAGTATATGTACAGATTACGATGCTGTAGAGGTACATCGACTGTTATGCATGGGCTTAATTAATAAGCTACATGTATGTAATTGGTCACAAAAGCATAATATGTATTTAAGACATAAAATAGCAATCTAAGACTGGCAAATTGAACAGAAAATGTGATTCCATGAAATTTTATTGAAAAAGCACTTTAATAGTATACAAGTTTTTGTTTTGTCTAAAGAATTTAACAACAAACAGCAACCGTATCTTTGCTGCTGGTTGACCTTATATATTTCAAATGAAGGTTTTAAAAGAATATCTTAAGGAATTAAAATTATAAATTCTTTATCTAACAAGTTAACAAGCTACAGGAAAATAAAAGCTACAGTATTGTACTCCCATCCAGTAAAGCAAATGTCCAATTCTGGTTTTAGGCATTTTAAATATTATATATTAATTTTCAGATTTTCTGCAAAATAAGCAGTCATTTGACCTGTAATATATATTTTTCAAAGCAGGAAATCATTTGTTTATATTGATAAAAAGATAATGTATATGGCAGCCTGATTAATTTCAACATGTTTTTGTTTGGTTGAATTTGTTGAACAAAACAATATTATATATTAAATAAGTTATCACTCGGATGTGTTTACAAATGTCAATGCACTGTCTTTAAGTGATGGTGGAACAAAACATTTTGCAGACTTAATAATGCCTTGTGCCAGTTAACCTTTATGCACAGATCGAATTAAAATCCTCATCTTCCCCGTTTCTCTTCATAATCTCCGAGTGACTTGATTCTGTTTCTAGTGTGTGTGAGTAGCATTATTTTTAGACAAGACATATACGTTTTTGTTCAGATGGAATCACGAAGTGAATCTGCCCGTTTTTTCTATTTGGGATGTGATAATTGGACTGTCACTTTGACTGACGAAAATGGTCCTTCATTGATAAATATGAAGAATGGTACGTGTATATTTACCCTTAAATTATCAGATCAACAAAAAGAGCATATTAAAAATAACTACCTGTTGTACAATCTTGTCGCGGTGTGTGATAATCATTAAATTCCCCAGGTGGGAGTTTACATACCTGAAAAGGTATATATAAATACACGACCAGGATTTTTTTTCGCCGCTTTCACCTGCATTAGATGTGGGTGTACACATTTCCTTGTGATAATAAACTTGACTTTCATTCATAAAATGTTTTTCTTACGTACTAGTCATGCATGGCTTTCTTTTTTCACTGTGCTCTAGGGTAAGACAAAATATGTCTCTATTTTTAATCTTCCTTTCTATCCAAATTTTTTAAAACAGCGTATACATGTATCTATTTTTTTCTCTCTCCAGTGTTGATTGGTTATTTAGAACTTCACTTGTAGATTTAAGAAATCATTGTCGTATTTAATCGAGAGTGGTATGGAGAAAAAGATTTGTGTTCTACTGAACATGGTGACAGATTTATAAGGCTGTGAGTGTGTGTCCTCATTCTGTTATTTATTTGCCGTATGAATTACTCTCTGGCAATCTGTCTTGTGAGATGTTATCTCTTACACAGGTGTAGGAGGGCTCTATTGTAAAGGAAGTCCCACTAAGTTCTGACTCAGCTTCAAATTAAAAAAACAAAAACAAAAATCGATTTTCGATATTTGAACATCCTGAAATATCGGTGGCTTTTCTCTCTCTCTCTCTCTCTCAATCCCCTTGTTTTCAAATTTAATACAGATGAGCATTAAATTGGAAAGTTCATGCTTTATTTGCAAATTTAGGTTTGTCCATCTTGAAGTTAATTCCATTATTTTAATTTTTTGTTTACTTGTTTTTGTTTATATGTATATAATACTTATGGAAAATTTATTTTAAAGTTATGTCAGTGCATTGCTCGCAACAAGTCAAATTGCTAGATATGACGTCTATTTTTAAGGAATGCAGTTATTTTAGATCTTTTGATTAAAGTCTTAAACATATATTATCTTTCATTACATTGTTACAATTTTCCATTCAACATTTCTGAACTTCTCTCAGCGTATCAATTAAATTACTTATTCTAAAAATAAAATTTATTAATACTCTCCGTGAAAAATTTATATGACTGTAAAATATTAATTACTCACAGAATTGATTTTGTTGTTAATTTGACCTTTTAAATTTTGCAATAGCTGTAAAAATTGTTGGCGAATAAATCTCTTAGACAGTCAAAAAAGGTTCATGTCTTCAAGTAGTATTTCCATCTAGCTATATATAGTCACTGACTTCCAGATTAATGATTAGCATGGTAATTTTATACTCTCCTATACTAAGAACGAGGTTGAAATATCATAGTCGCAATAATGCTTTGTTTAGTTTTGTATCCTGTGGTATATTCTCCCACTTCATTTCCAGCAAAGCTTATATAAGTGTATCTTCCCTTATTTTTTAGTCTAAGATTTCATTTTTTGTAAGAAAACACCAAAGTTTTGTCGCTCTTTCTTCTATAATCTCAAAAGCCATATCAAAAAGTGATTATTTGCACAAAAAGACACCTTTTTGGGGTCACAGATCATTACAATATTCAAAAGAAATACACACTTTTATTTGTTACAGATTACTATCTGTGTCTTAATTTTTCTTGTCTTTTGGGAAATATTTATGCTGTTTTATGAGTCATGTTATTTTATATGATACACACATCATGTGGAGTGCTTTATTGTCACACATTCCAGTAAATCTGTTGGACAGGTCCTAAGATATGCTTCTGTGTGCATGGCGTATACCTCTCACTTCCTGCTTTTGAGTTTATAGGGGAGTATAGGAGAGGCAAGTACTTGAGACACGAGTTATATAAACACCGGATTGCACAATCATACACACACAAGTGCAATTCAAAAAGTTTCTTCAATTTTTTTTTTCACTATCTATGTCAACACCAGAAATGTGTTTGATCCTGGGATATCAACTCTCATATTACACTACCGTATTCAGAAAAAACAAAATTAAAATTTACTCAGCGAAGACATCTTGAAGGTTGTGTGGGACCTTGCTAGACGAGATTTTGGTTATTTCGAGAGCATGATTAATTTTCAGTGTCCTCTTAACAAATGCTAAATGTCTCCAAATGTTGACACAAAAATATCATGCTACTTGAATTTTTCAGCACATATTTTAACCCCATGAAAGGCATTCTTGTTAGCTCCTAACAAGTGACATTGGGGAGGAATGGGTGAGGGTGGGTAGTGGGAAGGGGAAGGACTTTAATAAAGTTAACCTCTTTCCATTGCATTATCTTTAGGTCTTTTCCTGGAAATTTTTGAAGTTGAACTTTTAGTTTTGTATAGGAAAAAAGGATTTTGCGATCAATTAAAAGTTGGTCAGAGTTGTTGGACTTCAAAGACACATGCATTTAATGGCTTCAGTAATACTCTGAAAGGCGTTCAATTTATTGAATATAATGAAAATAAACGGTAATTTTAACAGAATTGCTAAGTGGAAATTTGCACTTTAAAAAAATATCTTTTAATTAAAGACAAAAACTAAATCCTTGACTTTATGTATTTCACAACCATGTTTCAAGCCTTGAGAAATCAGATGATTTCTGTCTGTGACATAATTGTCTTTTTTCTATTGGTTAAGTTTGAATTTTGGTTGAGTACATTTAACATACAACAATTTCTAAAATGAGGCAGACTATAGACAAATGAGTTGATAATACAATGATGTTCAAAGTCAATATTTTGCAAATTGAATACCTGGTGAGATACAATGCCTTCGTTTAAAAATGCAATCTTTTTGTTAGTCGAATATTGACTGTTATCATTCAGTGACACTCAAGTTGAAAGACCATTATACACAATGAATTGTTTAAAGATTTTCTGTTTACTGATCATGACAGTGAGATGTGACCAATTGACAGGGGATGCTTACTTCTTCATGGAACCTGATCCCACCTCTGTTTTCAGAGGTCTTTGTTGACTCTCCTCATAATATGTATTGTTTTATTGAACTTCACAAAATAATCAGTATGTAATCTTCACATATCATTTTTAATTCATTGATTATAAGTTGTTCATTTAAAAAAAAATAGCTGATGACTAATCCTCATTGGAGGTCTGAATTTCATTAGTAGCATACTCTGTACATACTTTACCTACCAGGAATTGAACCGGGTTAAATTAAGACTTCTTCTAGATAAACAGCATTATCATGCATTTGAAAGTTTAACAACATAACTCTGAATTCGGGCAAGCTGTAAAAGATGAAATAATTATAGTGTCTGCAGTGTTTATGTGGGTTCATGTTAGGTGTAAATTAATAAACTGCTGTGTTTATTTTCTTTGCAATTTATCTCATTAGCATTATTATCATTGTGAAGTATATATGTTTATGTATTTATATATATGTGTGTGTATGAATTATGCTCATCTCTGTCAACATGTGTATATTTTAATCTAATTTTTTTTTCTACCGTTATATATATAAAAAGGAACATGAATTAATTCAGAAAAATATTTCGTTATGGATTTTTATGAGGATGGTTTTTACATGTTTTTCAGATGAAGGTTTATTCGATTCCTCCGTAGGAGAAGTTTCAACTTTTGATTTCCCTCGCATGATCTGACAGGTAAGCCTACGCTGATATCATTATACTAATACTGACAATATATAACTCGTGAATATAAAAGGCTGGAAAAAAAAACCCTCGTTGTCTTAATTATCAACAAGCGATGACTGCATTTAGAACGTTTTAGTATCAAGTGTACAAGACCAGAGATGAAATACGGACAATTAATTCCTTCCATCTTTGGATACACAGCTATTAGGGATAAACTAAGCCAATTCAGACATACCCCTGAAAGTAAATAAGTGCTTATACATGTTTACGCCACACCGCTCCTTTAAATGCCTACATCTACTTCCTCCATACAATTGTAGTATTTTGTCAAAATAGATTTTAAACATATTTTCTATAAATTGTCATTTTTAAAAAACGTTTTATTAGTTGGACGTACGAAAATATGTAATTACGTGCAGTGAAATGAGTTTTTGTAATCGAGGTAAATGATTTGAAATTATTATCATATTTAATTAATACAAGTGCAGCTATATCACACTCTAAGATCATGCATTCTAATGTTGGCCTTCATTTGAAGAATTTTAATCTTTGCAAGAAAGTGTAACTGAAGAGTATAGATATTCAAAATCGTCAATTATCATTCATTTCCTTTCAACATTACTATAGATCGTAGTACATAGTGGGAAAGGTTGCTAAAACATTCACATCATATAAAACCCTTTAAAGTCATCATAGGAGTGTTTAAGTGAGAAGAGACCAACGGTTTTGTATTTCATCGAGAAAACTTGACAGATTATTCACCATTTGTATTGTTACCTTGGTAATGAAAATTTATTCTGCTCAACTGATGACTTTTAATTCATAATGGTCACTTTCGCATATGTATACACAGTCTTCACGAAAACTTTTCAAACTAACTGGCCAGTCGGACCAGTGAACCTTCAAAATGTAATGGCCCACGAAAATTTTTACTGGCCCCTTAATGAAAAAATAAAATAAATACATTTTTGTAACTGTAAATAAATACATGTTTACGCACTTCAACTTTTGAAATGCGGCCATTTTTCGTCCTTTGTCGCGTTTAGGTAAGTTGTTCGTAGGAAATTCGCACATTTTACGTACTACGTAATAGTTACTAGCTAGTTCCTGTTGTTACGTAATGCATCCAGGTTATAACAATACGATTCAACAACGCATGTTTGTTTTTCTTATTTTATATATTATTAAAATTTAAGCAAGTAAGTCAGTAAAAATATATATTGACTGTGTATGATTTTTAAAATCAACAAGCCCATCGGACTTCTTGAATTTTGATTTTCACTGACCCGACATCAAAATTCACTGGCCTCGGTCTTCGGACCAGTGAGTTTTCGTGAAGACTGTATACATTTCAAAATGTACAAGAGAATATTTCAAATTTCAAGTCGTAATGTATACAGTTTTGTTTTCTTTTTTTATCATCTTGCAATAGATTTGAAGAGGATATATAGAGTAAGGCACTTGTGTGTGCATTTATTTATGTGTTTTAAAATTGTCCTAGTGATAATTTTGCATCAGGATCGATGTTGTATGGTGATTTGATTTATAGAAATGCTCTTGGCAAGGGGATGATCCACTTTGTGGCCATACTTTTGTTTCTTATGGTTTTCGATCTTTTCCCAAAATATTTGTAAGACAGAATGGCCAAAGGTCTAGAAATTATTGAGATCAATATAAATTAGATATATGGAGGCAGTATCTTGTTTAAAGCCATTGACTGTTAGTTCAAGTACTTGAATATAAAAGTGCGATGGCAGTTCAACTTGTCCATTACAAGTAAATAAGTGTACAGTGTATTTTTCATTCAGTAACTAAAGCTTCTCTTTCCAATGTCCAATCAATATTTCGTTCCCATATTCCGTGATCCACTTTCATTGTGTTGTTCGCACCTTAATACAAAGTATCAATTCTAATTCATCTTTTTATTACTTATAATATCAAAACAGGTAAATTAATATGTCATGCGCAATTTAGAAGTAAGAAATGTATATGCTTGAAATTGAGATCAAATACATGTATTACAAACCCTGGTATACTATACCATATAAATACTATATACGCTAAATTTTGCATGAATTATTTTTTATGTGTCATGTTTACTCCAAATTTAGCTAGATTGTTTACATTCAAACAATAAACACACAAAAATATATCATATTTACATGTTAAATTATGTACATGGTATATATTTAGTGGAGCTATCATTGAGTATAATCTCCCACTTGGCTTAATTATTATTTAATTTATAATGTGTGGTGAAAGTAAATGAGCAAAATTAAAATTAAAGGATTGTCCATCTTGCCAAGAAAAATGCCCCCCCCCCCTTTCAAAAAAGTGCTAAATTAATATTAGTTTCTATTTTTTTTTTTTATTTCTATTTGTTCAATATTTCTTTTATTAACATGTTCCCTGTATTCTTCCATTATGCAGAGAAAAAAAAAAGAAATAAAATACCGTATAATCCCTATTAACTGCCCCGGGCGCTTAGAAAATTGCAAAAAGGGGGCGGTTGTTTTGGTATTCTCTTTATGATATTTAATGTCATATTTTAAGTTCAAAATATCTTATAAAAAAAAATAAATACAAGGAACCACTAAAATAATGTCTAACTTTAGTGAAAGTGAAAATTATCCACCCAGATTATGCTAAATTTTCATTTTCCACGGAGATATTGGGTAAAAGACAAGTTTCATTTTCACTTTCTTCAATTTTTTGATACCATTCTTTTTGATTTTAATCACTGTACAGGGGGCCCTTATTTCCTGACGATTGAAAAAGACCTAAGGGGGCGCTTATAGGGGCAGGGGCGGTTAATAGGGATTATATGGTACCAACAATTGCCGTAATGTTATTAATTATAATAGTAGTAATAACACAAGCATCAAATTGCAGGTGCCCTATAGTAATCACATTGTCCATATGTCTGTCCATCTGAACAATATTTTAAATGATACAGTAAAGTTCTATGTACCATTTAACCTTCGTACATAAAATTTACCATATAAATGGAAGATGCTTAGAGAGGCTTCACTCAGATAGATTCTGTATGACTTTATTTGTTGAATGCAGTTTAATTATGATATAAAGGAAGGAGTGAGATATAAATCCAAGTTATTATAATGAATTGGACATGTGGGAAGGGCCACCCAATGCGGCTCTGTCTGTAGCATGGAACAAGACACTTTTATTTTACATATTTAATTAACATATATGGTCATAATAAGTCTATGAAAACATTAACTATACTGACACTGACAAGGCATATTTATTAGATTTTTCCCCCAATTTCGTAGAATAAAATAAATAAAACTATTAAAATTTTAATTTACGAAGTTAGATTTAATTCATAAATTTTATATTATTGAAAGATTTTTTTTTTTCACCTATATTGATTTTAATTTTTTCTGTGGCTTTTTTTCCCATATATTTGGCAATTATATCTTTAAAGTAGGTTAATTTATACATGCAAATAGGCATTCACTGAATTAAAAAAAAAATTAAAAAAAAAAAAAAAAACAATTTATGATTTCTCTGTTTTTTTGCAATTTATAGTGTTATGATTTAAATGCACTGACTTCATTAAAACTATTGAATTAACAAGCAGGATTGCATATATTTAACATACTTAATACAATTAATGCATGTTCTTTTTTTTGTTTTTTAATACTAGAGACATGCACAAATTTGCAAAATTAATTATTCAAACTGGGAAAACACAAGGGCGTACACAAGTTTTTCAGAAACATGGGTGGATGTTAATGTAGCTAGGGCTCCTCACCTACATCTTTTAGAAAACCCCGTAATTTTTGCGAGAAGAAACAGTGGTAATCATTATCATTTTCATGTCAGAGTGGTTGAAAGGTAAAGCCAATTTTAGCATAATGAGAGTCGTACTCGCTAACACCATCTTTTCACACACGCAGTTCAACAGGCATATATTACAATTTTTTTTATTTTTGACCTATCACTCGACCTTAATATCAATATTTGACAGCAAAGAGTGCCACTTATCTTTGATAGAAAAATGTATTCCCTATTGATGTTTTAATACTTACCACAATTGGGAGAGCTGCATAAAAATTGACCACAAATCAAATACCTAAAGATTTTTTTTTTCTACCATTATTTATGCATGCAAACAGCCTTAACCAAAATAACTCTAATTGAATAAATTGAATTAACTCTTTGTTCTCCTCCACAGAAGGTAGATATTGTTTTGGTTGAGGTGATCATTTGCTTAAGGATTGTAAGTCAGAATTTATACATGAGAAGGGCCTACGTAATTGCTTTAATTATTTTTTTTTTATTGGAAGTAATTTCGATGGTGCTTTTCACCTTGAGTGATTTAGTAGTTATTCATTTTTGTGAATGAAAAGTCGATGGCAGATCTGAATTGACATCTCGATCATTATGTTTTTTTCAGTCCAACAATGTGCAATAGTGATGAGAAGTCCCAGCAATGATGACGAGGATTCTGAGGACAAGGTTTCCTTTGACATAGTGACCACTCAGTCCGCCATGATGGGTAACAAGGGGCACAACTCAGGTGAGGACCACAAGAGGATCCTGGTGAAGCAGTCAGCTGTTGACGAGGACAGTAACCAAGGAAGATCTGTCCTCAGCCACCTTAAGGATCAACCTAGAATATCTGAGAGACCCTTTAAACAATTTCTGGGCTTAGAACATGGAGAGCTACCAAAACAGCATAGCGATCCAGGAGGCCGTGTGTCTAGGGATGTACATTATAGTTTTGATAACTCGGAGAAGAACTTTCTTTTTTCTTCTGATTTTCATCCAGATGTGGAGCAGGATGAAAGGAGAAAAGTTATGGAGAGGTACAATGTGGAAACATTTTCTTCACGATTTCAACAGAGTAGGCAAATGTCTAAAATGGTTTATAATGCTAGTGCTCCTAATCTTCTGATTGAAGAGAAAGACTCTGTGCAGATTCGTGAAACAGTGATCTCATCTTCAGGATTTCCATTTCCGTTTTCAAATTCAGGAAGAGATTCTTCAAACTTATTGACTAAGAATCTTTCTTCGGAAACAACTCATTCTAGTGAAGATATTAACTTGTACAGGGGTGCCTCACCTCGTGGGAGAAGTAGAGAACTGTTTAGGTATGCTCCCCGACTACAGAGAAGTGATGATAGTACTACTTCACATAGTCATCATTCCTATGTTAGTGGGTCTGATGACAGCCCAAGCAGTAGGGAGCCTTCACCTTTCAATAAGGATCTTCACGGAGTGCCTATCCACAGTATTCGTATTAGTTCACCCGGTATTTCAGTGGAGTCTGTGGATGAATCCTCTGATGGGGAGAAAAGGCGGATGATCCACCAACCCACCAGCATTGTGATCACCACAGACGACAATGTCTCCAGTGTAGTGGAGGGACTCAAAGAGGATGATGGTGAGGAGGACGGATTCCATCGACTTCGGAGAGAATACTCTGAGCAGCACCCCACGAAGGACTCCTCTTCAGTCACAGGAAATTTCAAGAAATATCTCCATGCTCGTTATATAAAGAGTCAGTCCTCCTCCTCAACAGATACATCTTCTCTTGATCATTCCCAGGACAGACCAGACATTCCAGGGTTGGGATCATTTGATCAACAAAGGTCATTTGACCAGCAAAGATCACTGGATTTGAAAAGTCCATTGGATCTCAGAGAGACAGCTGAAGATACTGTATCTCAACAGCTCTCAGCAGCAAGCAAAATAAAGTTGTCAGAGTCCTCAACTTCTTCCTCTTCATTTGAAAGGAAATCTTTTGAAATGATCCATCAAGGCAGTGAGGATAATGATGTGTTCATGGATCCTTCAGTTAAACCTTTAGTGCATCAGTCAAATCTTCAACAGATATCAGATTCTGAACCTGTGGATTTACGACAGAATATATCAAATGTAAAACTAGAGGACAACAAAAACCAGAATGAAATTCACAGATCTCAGTCTCCAAGACAGTTGTCTCCACAGGCCTCAGTTAAAAAAGAACAAAAGACACACCTGCTTCAGCAGCAAACCCCCCAGCAAACATATCACAAGGTCCCCATTATAGCAACCACATCTTACAGCTCCCCTGACCTCAACAAGGCAAGCATGGAAGCCGATGTGCCACAATCTGTTACACCTAGACAACAGTATATGCCCTACATGCATCCTCTGCATCATTCTCCAAGTCTCCACACCCCTCACATATCAGCCTCTCACCCTCAACCTTCTCCATTGTGTTCAGTTCCAGAAGGAGGGCACATCTTCAACTTTAATCTCCCAAGTCCTTTTGATGGTGGCTTCTTCTCCGATCCTGAAATGTTGTCTCCAAGTCCTATGTCTCCGGGTTTCTCTCACTTTGCCTTTCCTCCACGTGGATCCTTGATTAATTCCATGTCTGAATTGAACAGACTAGCTGTGTCCCCTCGCGCAATGTACCCTAGTCACTCTCTTGTACTTCCTCCATCAAAACTAACACACACCACTGCCAAACCCGAGACCCAGTCTCACGAGAGGAGGATTCAGTCAGAAAGTGACGCCTACCTGTGCCCCATGTGTGGGCAGGTGTTCCCTGCCTATGACAACTTAGCAAAACACATGGCCAAACATCTCCCAACAGAAACTATACGACAGCCCGATAATAACAAAATTCACTTCTGTAAAGTTTGTAATAGATCGTTTTCGCGTAGTGATATGTTGACTAGACATATGCGACTTCATACAGGATTGAAGCCTTACGAGTGCAGTGATTGTGGGCAAGTATTTTCTAGGAGCGACCATCTGAATACACATAGAAGGACACACACAGGAGAGAAACCTTATAAATGCCCCCAATGTCCGTACGCTGCCTGCAGGAGAGACATGATAACTAGGCACATGAGGACACACACAAAAAAGACAAATAAACGTAAATTTTTGTCAGTGCCCGAGAGTGATAGTGATGTTAGAAAGAGTTCTTTTTCTAGTACAGATACATCAGATTCTCATGACCTGGGTATCAGGTCGTTTTCGCAGTCCAGCATTGAGAGCGTTGATCCCGATGGAGGAACTTCTTTAACACCTGCTAAATATAACCTAACACAAGAGGGAGCAAGGACCCCCGAAAGGATGGAGAAGAGTGGAACAGAAATAGAAGTTCCCAAACTCGGTGGTCGATTTCAGAGTTCTAGGAGAGAACATGCCTTTGAATCTCAGCACTTGTATCGCAAACAAAGACATGTGATAGGGAGTAGCTACGAAAGTTTCGAATCGGAGTCGGGAAGTTTTCAAAGGGATTCCTTTGATCAGGAAGCAGTCCAAGAAATGGAGTCGTCACATGCTGGTAAACAGGGAAGCGAATTGCCCGATGCAATGGAGGAGAATTTAAGCAAATGTTTTGGGGAAAGTATAAAAACTGATTGAGGTAGCCGTAGTTTAAAAATACATTATAAGCATTCCCAAAGAAATATTTTTCAGTGCATTTTTACAGTGTATTAAGTCAAAGAGGAAACTACACTTGATTGTGATGCTTGGCGGTTAACTGCACAATTTGGAAGAAGAACAGGCAGGATTTTTCCTAGTACTACTAAAACAGTGTATTTACAAATTTAGTATACAAATTTAGTATATATATTGGAATTTTTGAATTAGAGAGATTTTATTTGTGAAATTATTGTTTTTTTTTCTTTTATTGTTATAGCCATATTTGCTCATGGCATTTTTTTTTGTTAATGTTTGTATTCAGAACTTGATACTTGTTGACTTTTGTGATTTTGCATTAAAAGTGCTAATGTAACTGTGTATGTTTGAAATGCATTTACCTTCTAGTTCTTAGGTATTATCCCTGCTTTCCCCCATTTTTAGCTTGAGCTGACTGGGAAATTGAAGGATTTTTTCATGAAGTTAGGTCCTGTTATTTTCATTTGTATGAATTATTGAGACAATGGGCAACAAGATATATTTTTCTTGAAAGTGAAATTGAATCCATAGGTGAATATAATCTGCATAGAAGATTTTTTTTTAATCAAAGAAAGTAATTCAAATTGCCAAACAATTTTTTTTTAAAGGAAAGAAATCTGATCCTTAAGTATTTTTTCTCAAAATTTCACTTTAATTTCTAAGAGAAGTTAATGTATTTAATAATCATTTTATTTTTTCTGAGTTGTGACCGATGATTTTCAAAGTGCCTTACATATAAACCAAATTAAATACCAGTGTTATTAAGTTTAAATTAACAAAATGAAATAAAATCAAAATATGCATATAAATCAATGTCAATAATGAAACAAGACACGAGAAGGGGTAGATAATATGCAAAAGCAAGTTAAGAAAGAAGAAAAACTTAAAATCCTCTTTTTCTGTAAATTTGTCTACTTTGCATTTTTATAAAAAAAAATTTTGGATACATCTTACTTCTAAAGTAAGTTTAATCTCTGTCCCTTAAATACTCTTTTTTAAAAACACTTTTGATATTTTATAATTTTGTGAACAAAATATGGAATAATTCTCTGCCAGAATTTCCCCTCAAATTTAGAAATCAGAAATATATAATTGTTTTGATACCCAAAAAGGGGGATGAGTAATTCCTTAGAATTTCAGTTTTTATCTTCAGTCATCTTTAATTTTCCAATATGGCAGCTATGACTCTTCTGTTTTTGTTCTTCAGAGGATGGGAATTACTAAGCATTAGAACTGAATCATTGAAACAATTTCTGATGAACTTGAAACTATAATTTAATTCAATGTCTTCTTGGCAGAAAAAAAGGTCTTTGTTTTTATATTTTCTTGCAAAAGACCATTCCTTAGAAATGACTAATTTTAGATGAATCCCTTCTTACTACAAATTAATTTCTCTATCTCTGAAAATAGAAAAGAAAAATTTTGTTTCCTGAGAAAGAGGGACTTTGAATTTACAGAACATAGACTTATCATAATAAGAGTTGTGTAGTATGGTATGCATGAAATATTTTTGTATTCCATGAAATAAACATCCATACATCCCTATTCTGTATATATGCTTTGTTTGGGTACTTAAGTTTGCTATACAGATTTAACTGATTTCTGTCAATTACTGTTATATAGTAAATTTTACACTTTTGAAAATGAAATTGTGGATTTTGGATTCCTGTTCTTATTATCAATGAATGTTAAGACTTGTTTTATCAATAGTAAATATTTGGAGTGTACAGTGAACAAAGGAAAAAAGAAGACAATTTTACGTTTTAAAAAATCCACAATTCATTTTCAAGCGGTATGGCTATTGTTTGCATTTTTAATTTCATTAAAAAGTTTGCACTGTTTTTACTGATGCAAAATTTGGTTTCACCGGTGACTTATCTGAAGAAAATAGATGTCTTATTCAAAACAAAGCTGTGATTTACTGTGTTATGAAGTATTACTGAAAGATAAACAAAAAATCATATTTTTTACATTTTTATCAAACATTAGATTGTATCATACATGTATTTTATTAGTAGCTTTAATTAGGATTCAGAATCCAAAGTATGATTTTTTTTCTAGAAGCATCCAGTGATGGTCTGCTTCAGCATAATTACTTGATGGTTAGAGTGTTTTTTTTGTTACAAGCCTCTCGATACCCCCCCCCCCCCCCTTCTAAAAAATATGTAATTGTACATCATTTGTTTAACAAGGGCCTTTATATTAACAACGAACATCACAGAATCATAACATTCAGATGCAGTGATGCATAAAATAGGGACTCTTTCTTTCTGGCAAATTTTTTGATAAAAAAAAAATATCCTCTTAAATATTGAATGTTGCTATCCCAGATCTATTTCAAAAATCACCTAAAAATAAATTACAACGTTTAGAAATCCCATTAGATTGTTCAATGTTATAGAATAGACCATAATATACAATGGACTTTAACTATGTAATTAGAAATGTTCCCAAAGATTTCCATGTATACCGGTAGGTGTGTGCTAATTGGACCTCTAGTCAATTGTTAAATGTGTAGTGTGTGTGAAGCAGTTTTATACTCGTATAAGAAATCAAAAAAACCAAAAATCATTAAAATACAAAGTATGTTAAAAAGTACATCAGAAAGTATATTCATTGCCATAAAGTTACTATTGGTAAGTGTTACAGTCCTTATAGTACTTTGATTTTTTAGGTGGTAGTGGTTCTGGGGAATTGTGTTGTGAATAACATGGATCAAACTTTTATTGAACAAGATCCTTCAAAAATTGCATTCTTTGTTATATAAATATAATTGTTAACATTTTAAACATATTTATATATTATATATCTTACAAATGTTTTAGAAGTCGTGAAAAAAAGGTCATATGTACATTTTTTAAAAAATGACAAATTTCATGTTTTTTAGCATACGATGTTTTGACAATTTGATATCATTTCTGTGATATTTTCATAGGAGGATAAACAACTTTTTCTACGCAAACATTCAATTATCATCCCCATTTTCATTACTACATTAAACGAGGCTTCTCCTTTATACGTATATCAGAAGTAACATTCCATTTCTGTAATTTGCATAACTTTAAACTCCTGAAATTAGCTATAAGCATGATGAGTATTACAATCAAAAAAGCTGAAAATGGATATTTTCTTTGATTATCTATAATCTATGTTTTCCCTAAATTATGATATTTTTAAAGGCATATAATCTTATGTTGAGGTAAAGATTATTTCTTGTTTCTTAAAGACATAGGCCTATGGTTTTTTTCATGTCGATACATTTTTCCAGGAATAAACATCTTTAATAAATTCTTCAAAAAAAATTTTTGGTCAATTTTTAGGGTTAAAATTGTATGAACAATTTCTGATAGGCAGCTAGATCTTTGGGAGAAGTAATGATAATTGGTTGTGAATTAAGCAACTTTAAATTTATAGGTTCTATTAATTGAGCATCTGAATTGAGTACTATGTGTACAAGAAGTTAGATGTTTTCTTATATAGATAAATCTGGTTCTTATGGTGATATCAAATGCTTAATGTATTAAGTGCTGTGATGATTTCGTATAATGGAGATAGCTAGAAAATCTACTGCATTTTCCTTATTCCTGTTTGAAATATTCTTTAGCTGACAAAATTTCCGGAATCCTTCCGGACCAAGTTTTATAATTTTTCAAAAGAGAAAGCAACTTATAATGCAGGATTTATATTGTATATTATAGGCATTCAGATCATGTTCAGAATTTATATACATTATGCAATGAAATATTTTTGACATGAATGGGGAAAATGCAGTTTCTCATTGTTGTTACTTGTTATTCATTGTTTTCCCGCCATATTGGAAAAAGGCGGTTACCTCGTATCATTGTCATTTCATTTGTAATTGAATGAAACTATTTAAAAGAAAAAAAAGCTTTTTGAAAGACTTCATGAGTTACTTTTTTTGTGAATCGCCAGAATAAAGCAAAAAAAAACAACAAAAAACAAAACAAAACAAAAACAAAAAACAAGCAAATTCAAAGAATTGTGGTCGATCCCCCCTTTCGGTGTCTTTGTGGGTGAGATGTTATTTTTAATGACATATTGAGTCAAATATGAAAGCCCTATCATATGTCATTTAGAATTAATCACCGAAATTGAATTATTAAAAGATAAGGTCAATCGTGAAAGGTCAAGGTCAAGGAGTCAGAAATCATAGCATGCCCGGAAATATCTTGTCACAGGTAATGCACATGTCAAATATGAAAGCCCTATCTCTTCTCAATCAAAAGTTAAAAGGAGCAAGATGTGTTTGTGAAACACTGATGACCCGCTATGGCAACACAGGGAGGATTAAACTTTTCTTAAATGCAAATTAAATATATTGGTACCCAAATAGGGTCTTCTCACAAGAAATACGATTGTGAAATATGAAAGCCCTAGCACCACCTGTTCAAAAGTTATAGCCAATGATAAGTTTTTGAAAGATAAGTCAAACTCTAAGGTCAAAGGGTCAAAGTTGTTGGTTTCTTGAGAAAGGTCTTGTCACAAGTATTACACATGTGAAGTATGAAAGCCCTAGCCCTTACCGTTCAAAAGTTTTGGCCAAGGTTAAATATTTCAAAAAGTAGGTCAAACTCTACGGTCAAGGTCAGAGGGTCAAAGTTCTTGATATCTAACAAAAGGTCTTGTCACAAGGATTATTGGGATGTATGAAAGCCCTAGCCCTAACCTTTCAAAAGTTATGGCCAAGGTTAAAGTTTTTAAAAAGTAGGTCAAACTCCAAGGGTAGGTCGAAGTTTTTGTTATCCGATGAAAGGTCTTCTCACAAGAATTACATATGTGAAGTATGAAAGCCCTAACCCTTACCGTTCAAAAGTTATGGCCAAGGTAAAGGTTTTTTCATAAGTACGGAAATCTCCAAGGTCAAAAGGTCAAAGTTGTTGGTATCCTATGAAAGGTCTTACCACAAAAAATACATATGTGAAATATGAAAGTCCTAGTATCTACCGTTCAAAAGTTTAAAATTTTTGTGTAAAAGTGGGTCAAACTCCAAGGTCAAAAGGTCAAATTTGGTGGTACCCAAAGAAAGGTCTTGTCACAAAGAATACACATGTGAAATATGAAGTCATAGCTCCACTAAATCAAAAGTTATGGGCAAGGTTAAAGTTTTTGTGACGGACAGACAGACTGACAAACGAATGAGATTTAATGCTCCTTCGCTTTCGCGAAAGCGGGGGATGAAATATGAAAGTTAAAGTATCATCCGTTCAAAAGTTATGGCCAAAGTGAAAGTTAAAAATTTTTGTGTAAAAGTGGGTCAAACACCAAGGTCAAGGTCAAAAGGTCAAATTTGGTGGTACCCAAAGAAAGGTCTTGTCACAAGGAATACACATGTGAAATATGAAAGTCATAGCTCCACTAAATCAAAAGTTATGGGCAAGGTAAAAGTTTTTGTGACGGACAGACAGACAGACTGACAGACGAATAGGATTTAATGCCCCCTCGCTTTCGCGAAAGCGGGGGACAAAAAAGAAGGAAATACACATATGAACAGAAGTATGAAAGCGCTAGCACCCATGCACTGATGTTCAAAAGTTATGGCCAAGAATAGTTTTCATAAGTGGATGAACCCCCAAGGTCAAGAGGTCAATTATGTTCGTACCAAAACAAAGATATTTTCACAAGAAATGCACATATGACAGCCAGAACTACAACCAATAAAACATATAGAAATAACGATTAGTATTCAAGATAAAACGATACAAAATAGGAGCAGAGCAAACAAGGACCTCCAAAACATCAGAGGTAGGATTAGATGCCATGAAGGAGTGATCATCCCCTGCCGACCTGTCACACATGCCTGTGCTCCTTGTTAGATTGGGAAATGACGGAAAAGTCCGTCGTCAATTCAGTGTATAAATAATGGAATAACAATTAGTATGAAAACTTCAGTCAGCATTTGACTCAATGATAAATTGTATTTGCTGACCTTACTTTTATCGACCATAGAACTACGATATGACGACTTTAAACGAAACAGCTGATATTTTTGTTTCATCAACTTGCTTGTCAATAATTTACCTCGTTTTAGAAATTGTTCATAAGTAGAGCATACTCTTGTGTATCGAATCAAATGAGATATATAAACTTTGTATGCAGGTGATGAAGGTATATTAAGTGAGTGAAGTTGACGATTGTAAAGTTCAAGTCATCACATTTATCATAGAGCTTTGTTGTTAGATCAATTTTTTAGGGGCAAGGTTAAAGTTTTTTTGGCAGTAAACATCTAGACAGACGAACTGACAGGGCAAAAACCGAATCGACAGAATTTTCGATTACGGGGACATTCAATTAAATCACCCTAGTGGTTAACACTTAAAAAGAAAAATCGGGAAAACCCCAAATAAACACACAATCTGTCTTATAATGAAAAATGGGGTATTTTAAAAAAAAAATTTGTGTGGAGCAATAATTTGGGGTTTTCCCAATTTTTCTCATTTAAAGTATACATGATATAGATAAGTGTAAAAACTATAATTTGTAGAAAAATTGTTGAAGCCTTGGGTTTGAATATCGGGGAGGGGCGGTCCAGTTCACAAGTACCTATGATCTGTTCCAGCTACTTTTGCTTAAAAATGTGTATGTACACTGTTTCTTCGGTCTCAGTCAACATGTATTTGATTGGGTTCGTGTACTAACAAGCTGACCTCACATATAGTCAATAATTGCATACAGTTGTATGAGGTCCAGTTTATATTCTTCATGTTCTAAACTGTTTGGCTGAAGTCTTGTCACAATTAAGTAACTTCATCTGTGACTTAAAAACAAAGAAATATCGAAAAATTATTATTTCTGCTCAGTCATAGTTATCTCTAACTGTGAACAAAACAAATCCAACGGAGTGCTGACAGTAGTTAGGGTATATAAAGCAAGAGTTGACACTCGTACACATTCAGAGAAAAGTATCGATCCAAATTTTCTGAATCAGAAGCATTGACCTAATGGAAATCGATACATCGTGAAACAGACGCTATCAGATATAGGGTTCTTTCAGGTGCGGCATTATGGATCATGTACATTCCTGGCCTATATCTCTGCCTTTGTGTTTTATTTTGCAATAAGCTTAATGATCACCCGGATGGGTAATACACATTGTCTCGTACGAAGAGTTCCTTAAAAATCAATTCGAACGCCTTGGAAAGAAAATGTCAATCGAGCAGGAGACGGCGCGGTCGTGCAGTTCGAGGAAATAGATTCCAGATTATCAGAGAGAGAAGGGAATATAAGATAAATATCGCTTATTATTTTTTTTATTATTTCATAAAAGTACATGCAATTGAAGAGTAAACATGCAAATTCAAAGAATTGCGAATTCCCGCTTTCGGTGTCTTTGTGGATGGGATGCCATTATTATTGCTTTTTGTGTCAAATATGAACGCCCTTTTCTATGTGTCATTCAGAAGTAATCGCCAAAGGTAAAATCTTCGAAAATTAGGTCAAACACGACGGTCAAGGTCAAAAGGTAAAAATCATAGCATGCTCGGAAACATCTTGTCACAGGTAATGCACGTGTCAAATATAAAAACTTCATATAAAAACCTTCTCAAAAGTTATAAGGAAAGTTATCATTTTTGAAAAGTAGGTTAAACTTCAAGGTCAAGGTCACAAGATTAAACGTCTTGATATATTTAGAGAGGTCAAACTACAAGGTCAAGGCCATAGGGTAAATTTTTTTTAGCATATTAGGAAATATCTTGTCATAGGTAATGAACATGTGAAATATGAAAACCCTGTCTCTTCTTGTTGAAATGTTATAACCAAAATTAATGACATACACAACGTACCTTACCTACTGATATTTATACAACCGCTTGAAAAGGGGGGGGGGTATACTGTAATCGGTATGTCCGTCCGTCCGTCCGTCCGTCTGTCTGTTACGCTTTGGGGTACCCATCTCTTATCCGCAACTCCTCTTATACCACTGAGTGAAATTTAATGAAACGTTCACAGAATATTTATAACATATTGTTTTTGTGAACTCCTATTTTACTTTTTGATCCAACACATATTTTGGGTTTCCCGGCCACACCAAAACATGGACTTTGCCATTATAACTACATGGGAGGCGGGGGTATCATTTAGTGAGCTCATTGCTCTCAGTACCTCTAGTTTTCAAGATATTCTAAACTTAAAATTATAGCACCATTACATGCTCTTAGACAAAAATTCAACACGTGTTATTACCAGGGGTTTGGAACAGATATCAAATGATGAAAATTCTTGCATTATTCAAAGAAAAATACTAAATATTAATTGAAGTTTTCTTCATCATCAAAATTTGTTTTAGAAGAGGTGTACAACACCATATATAGACATTAAAAGTATTGCACACAGGTCCGTCGTGTAGTGGAACTCTTCAACTCCAGGGAAGAAGTCAATAAGGGTGCTCCACAAGAACCCTAGCTCAGCGTGCAAAAAAGAGAAAATAAAAGGTCTTCGGAAATTTGCAAAAGGTAGCAAAAGGGGTGGGAGTTAATTTTTATACCCCCCGCTTGAAAAGTGGGAGGGTATATAGTAATCGTTAATTCCGTCCGTCCGTCTGTACGTCCGTCCGTCCGTCCGTCCGTCCGTCTGTCCGTCCGTCCGTCCGTCTGTTACGCTTTGGGGTACCCATCTCTTATCCGCAACTCCTCTAATACCACTGAATGAAATTTGATGAAACTTTCACAGAATCTTTATTACATATTGCCATTGTGCACCTCCTATTTTACTTTTTGATCCGACACATATTTTGAGTTTCCCGGCCACAGGAAAACATGGACTTTTTCACCAGTTATAACCATATGGGAGGCGGGGGGTATCATTTAGTGAGCTCATCGCTCACAGTACCTCTAGTGTTTATTTGATGTGGTGAAAGTACTTCAAGAACTCACCAGAACCTACC